GATTTCTTAAACAGATACAAGAGAAATAAAGAAGAGAAGAGAGAACGAACTTGTGTCTGGTATTTATAATCAATGTAATCACGTGATCGGCTCCGAAAATCATTTCTGATTTTTGGCGGAAAAATGGTTTTGAATAACGCGTAGTAGTTGTACGAATGTAGGCGAGAACATGATTTTAATATTAACGGACCAATGAAAAGTGAGAATAATATCAAGGCGCTGTGATCCACTTTTTGCACAAATTTGCACAGAAACTGACATTGATAGAAAAGAGGTAACAGAATGCTAAAAGATCATCGCAAAGGCGAGACAAGCCAAAATGCAGAGGTAGCAAGGCTTGACCTGGAAAATCAGAGAAATATACCAAGCAGCAGCTAAAGTTGTCCCTTTTTCATGGTTAGTGCACTATTTCCAGGAATGTTTCTGCACTGCAGGACGTCCTGGCGATACCTGATATTATTGGGAGAACTCAGGTAGCAGCGCTGCTTGGAACAGCTACAGGGCTGAGGAAACAGTTTGGAACAGCTACAGTGCGTCTCTAACTTGCGGATAGGAGATGAGATATAAGCATCATCATCCGGCCGAAACATCTAAGAGTCGGAGAGGATATGAAACCAAACAATAATAATTAAAAATAACTGAAAATGTCACGTTTTTCCCACTTCAATCTTCTGATGAATCTTAATTCTTCAGTTAATGATTGAATAAACTCATGGCGAGTTCAATTTCATTAAAATATCCGTAAAAATTCCCTTGTCACATCGTTTGATATTTGAGCTTAGCAACTTTAAGAAAATATTGCAGTAACAACAATGAATATGAATACTGGTCATTATTTATGAAGTGGGTACAAATTTAAAGGTTTGGAATTGACAACCTTTTGCATTTCATAGAAACAGCCGATAAACAATTCTATCTTCCCTTCCATTTGTATGTCTTTTCTACGCAATCAAAGAGGGAGAGTCGATTATTTATGAGGTACTCTATTCTTTATAGTCAAATCCCCGTCTGGCGAATTTTTCTTTTAACCCTTTGAGGCGTTCCTGAACAATTTTAACCCTCCTGCCTGAACTCCTGAGTCAAAATTCGCAAATAGTTGGTATGTAATGTTTCACGGTAGATATAGATAGTTTACCCATCGTTCAACCTTGTGGCTGGGTGGGCATTAAGTCATTTAAGTCTCTACCTCTCTTCAAGCTGTAGCTGGGCATTACGTCATTTTTCTCTACCACCGGTAAACCGGTGGTCAGGAATCAAAGGGTTAATAACAATTTTTAAATAATTCAGCAGACGATGTCATTTATTGTAACTATATTTTTGTCGATTGCCTTACCCGGTTTCCGTCGTTCGATAAAGTGCGTCTAAAAATAGCACTTTTATCGCATTCACCGTCGTTTACGGCCTTTTGGCTGGGATCAAAGTGTAGTATCTGCCCTCAGATAGATAAGTTACATTTAATCTCTTAGTTGTGCCTCTGTCTTCAGACGGAGCACAATTCAGTTGTGCCTCTGTCTGCAGACAGACAGGAAGTGCAAATATTATTGAAAGATGTCAGGTCTCTGGAAATAGCTGTCTACGCCAGTACCTCCCTCATTGCACTAAAGAAAGGGGATCGGTAGTTGTACCGTTTCCAGCGGAGCCGTCGGTTGCGGGAGCTGGACTACTTTTTAACCTGGTCAGGATAAACGCGTTCGAGCGCCCCATATAAAACTATATGTTATGTCCTGTCAGCGTGCGGCGGTAAGAAAATACAACTGCTTCTCGGCTTTTTGGCTAAGATCAACTTAATTGGATTCTCTCTCACTCTATGATTCTATTTTATTTCTTTCTTGCTTTCTTTCTTTTTCTTACCAACTAACGTCTTTCCCCATCTTTCTACGCGATCAAAACGGAATAGTCTATTATTTGTCAGGGATTGGCAAGGCGTAACGGTCGTGTGCACTAACGAAGACAAGAGTCAAGCACATTTTCTAATAACATAATTGATCTCCAGTAAAAGTCAATAACAAATATTGGTGTGAGAATTCAAATAGGACAAATTATTATTATTATTATTATTATACACTTTCTGAAATACAGATAATTGTGTTAACGAGTTTATTGCTGACGTACTGAGAAAAACCGTTTTAAAACAAAGGTTTCAAAGAACTTTCTAAAAATAAGCTTCATTTACTTTAGATCCCTGGGGAATGATTTGAAATGGGGATGAGTTCTACTGTCTGGAAACAGTATATCAAATGAAATAGCCACCACTACTAGCAGTAGCACGACGACCACCACCATACAACCATCAAAAAGCAACAAAAAGAACAAGAGCGACAATAACAACAGCAACAATAATAATAATAATAATAATAATAATAAATATGTCTTTTTCTGAAATACAAAAGTTTGATTTTATATGGACTACTGGCATTCTTGGAAAAACTTGCAAACAATGGTGTTTAGTAATTATGTAAGAAAAACCTTAATTTAACTTTGATCTCGGGTGAACAATTGACTGTATAGAACAGCATATTAAAAGGAATAAAGAAGAAGAAGAAGAAGAAGAAGAAGAAGAAGAAGAAGAAGATTAATATAAAAAAAAGTAGAAGAAACCCTGCTTTGTCTGAAATGCAAAAGATTGCATTAATGAAAGAGTACTGCTGACGTATCTAGAAAAACCCTTTCAAACAAAGGTGCCCAACAAGAAAAAAAGCTTCATTCACCTTAGATCCCATGTGAAAGGTTTGAAAAATATTTGCATCAAACAACATATCAAAAGAAATGAACAACAACAACAATAATAATAATAATAATAATAATAATAATAATAATAATAAAAAGCCATGTTTTATTGAAATGCAAAAGAATGCATTAATCAGTACAATTGACAGAAAATCTCTTTCAATGCAATCAGCTCAACAATTTCCTAAGAAAAACTATCATTTACTACTTAGGCTTGAAGTTAAAATCCTGATAGATGACTATATCAAACAACAAATCAAAAGAAATAATAATAATAATAATAATAATAATAATAATAATAATAATAATAAAAGGGAATTTCAAGTGCAAATAAACCATAATATACATACTGTAGCTGCAAAGAACCTAAAAATGAAAGCAAATGCAATGTACCGAAACGCAGAAAAGATGGCAAAATAAGCCTCTTCGTAGTCAATATTCTACCCGTATTAATCAAGCTGATGTAGAAAAACCCCGTACCCATCAGCGGGTACGTAGTGCTGGGTTAAAAGCTGAAACCGAAGGTTTTATACTTGCTTCACAGGACTAATGCGTGCAAACTAGAAATTATCAAGCACACTTACTGATACAAATTATGTGATAAATATGCCGAAACAATTGACCATCTTGTATCAGGTTGTACAGTGTTAGCAACCACTGAATATAAAACACAACATGATAGAGTGGAACAATAACTGCACTGGAAAATATGCAACTTTTACGGGAAGAAAACTGCAAGAAACTGGTATGAACATCACCCAGACCCGTTTATTTAAAAATAAATTTAAAAAATTAAATTTATGAGACTTTCTCATACACACAGACAAAACAATCGAAGCTAATCGCCCAGACATCTTAGTCCGCAAGAACAGAATGTGCTTTTTTTATTGACATGGCAATGACTGCATATAATAATTTATCTTTGAAACTCTTAAAATAAATATACAAGGATTTTGAAGTGGAAATCTCAAACATGTGGCACATGTGGACATCAATAATTCCAGTTATAGGTGGAGCCCTCGGATTAATTGGAAAAGCTTCAGACCGAGTCATTGAAGGGTTTTCTGGTAGTCCATAACTTAAAGAAATACAAAAACATTGTGCACATTACGAAGAACTTCATCTATGTAAAATGTGTGTGATCCTAGTTTGCTTTTTTTTGTTTGTTTGTTTGTTTGTTTTCTTTTCTTTAATTTTACAAAAATTATCACGCATTTCTGACATGAGGTCTGTGGTTGGGACCCGAAAGGAAATGCGTATACAACAGAAATCAAGGAAATAATAATAATAATAATAATAATAAAAAAAATCCCAGATTAAGAGAAATACAAAAAAATGCCTTAATAAGTTCAGCCTACACACTAAGAACTTTGTCCATGTAACGCTAATTATGTTATAGGAAGTAGAAAAAATAATGAAATGTAGTCATGACAACACACTACAACCTGCCTCAGGTCTTCACGCAGACTTGGTAGATAGTGTGACTATACCAAAAATCGAAATATAATAATAATAATAATAATAATAATAATAAAGTGGTTTTGGCCAGTGAAGAGAGTAGAAGCCATTCCCATTGTTGTTGGTGTTCTGGGTGCCATAAATGCTGAACGCTTTAAATGACTGGATTGTAATCAGTGTGAAGATTCAACACTTGCAGAAGACTTTATTCCCTCGGACTGCTCCATATTCCGATCCTGATGAACATGTGACGCTTCAATCCACTGGTTTTGGAAAGCTGATATTTTGATCCCATCTCTAGCAAAATTTGCTGTGTTTGCAGATCCAACAACACCAATGATAATAATAATAATAATAACAATTTTTGGGTGGAAAATATTGTACTGGTTCTGTTCCCTGACATGATGAGAATGGACGCGGTCAATGAATAAATGAATCTAAATAATAGTCCACCTGACCCGAAAATCTAGGAAAGCAAAACTATATGAAATGGGCAAGAAAAGGTTATAAGGAAAAATGGCAAGCTGTTAGAAGTACTAGGAAGAATGAGGGGACAGAAGAAGAAGAAGAAGAAGAAGATGAGGAAGAGGGAAAGATGTAAAAGATAAAGGAAAAAGAAGAGGAAGAAAAATATGAAGACGGTGAAAGAAAAATAAGAAAGAAAAAATTGAAAAAAATAAGTACTTTGAAGAAGAAAAAGAAGAAGAAGAAGAAGAGGAATAGGGAGTGATGTAAAAGATAAAGGAAAAAGAAGTGGAAAAAATGAAGACAGTGAAACAAAAATATAGAAGAAAAAATTGAAAAGGAATAAGTACTTTGAAGAAGAAGAAGAAGAAGAAGAAGAAGAAGAAGAAGAAGAAGAAGAAAAAGAAAAGATGGAAAAGAAGAGGAAGAAAAATATGAAGACTCTAAAAGAAGAATAAGAAAGATAAAAGCAGGGGAAGAAGTACTAGAAAGAATGAAGTGTAAGAAAGAAAGAAAGAGAGAAAGAAAGAAAAAGAAATCTGAAAAGAGTGTTTAGTTTATTCGAATATAAAAGGGACAAGGGTAAGGGCTGATACCCCACTGGTGCTGCAAAAGTTATTCCTGTTACCCAAAATGCTTTCCTTTCCCCACCAAGCTCCATCTCCGGTTGAACGCTGGGTTCTAATTAACTCCAACAGTGCGCGCTGAAAATTGAAATCTTAAGAGTTGAACGAACGCTACTCGATTTTATTATATTTTTTTCATACCAACATTTTAGACCCATTATCAGAATGAAAGAAATCTGATATAACAAGCTGTATCCGACTACCGTCGTGTGTATAGCTTTTTAGAATGGAGGACGTTTCAATAGTTCTAACCGCAGTAAGATTCCACCATTCGTTTACTCACAGACGCGAGTTTATTAAAACGCGTTAAAATTATACAACTTCGATCGAAGGGAAATATCTTCCATCACCATGTTTTTAGTTGTTTTTTTTTTGTTGTTGTTTTTTTATCTATTTTCTTATTTTACTCATTTTAATTTAACATCCCCACCTTTTATTTATTTAAATTTTTCTCGCTTTTTTTTAAACTTCGTTCTACGTCTTCCATTTTCATCAGTGTTCCATCATTTTTTATTAGTTCTTTATTGTAGTTTAGTTTCATTTGTTCCTTTTTAACGTCTAACATAAATTAACTACACACTCTCACTTTTGTTGACGTCCCGTTCGTTGTCGTCTGCTTTCTTAGACTGTATAGCTTACCTCATCATCGTTTCTTTTACAATGTAGAGGTAATCTCTGTATATACAATGGATGCGATTATCAGAAAGATTTTAGCCGATGTATTCTTCGGTTTTAAATAAAACAGTAGGCATTCAATCTACGAAGTAACTTTATATGATACAAAGGTGTTGCTACATAATGCAATGAACATATTTTGAAAAGCCTAGTGAGATTAGCTTTCAAAATGCTAAGAAGAGTATTAAGAAACAGGAATATTTTTGTTAGAAAAATAAAAAGAAAAGAGTACTGAACTCTTATTTAATGTCCATCCGCCTCTATGGTAGTCAATAGAGGAAAATATCCTCACAAATGAAGAAGAGCCTTGAGGTAACAAAAATGCGGTTCTACTGCGCAATGGAATTGTAGGATATGATTGAACCAATAACTTTCAAAGGCGGTTTATCTTCAAAAATAATAGACAGTATCCTCTTATAATTGTCTTTGTCCCTCACTTCGTTAGTTTGCCCAATCGTTACGTCCTGCCAATACCTCATAACTAATGAACTATTCCGTTTTGATCCCGTGGAAAGAGGGAAAAAGACTTGGTTTCAGAGAGAAAATGAAGGAAAAAAGAAAGAAAGATAGAAGTTTTTAAGGTATCCTGTCAATGCCTCATAAATAATCGAGTAGGCCTGGGTACCCTACTTCTGTAATTTATCCCAAGAATCTTCTTCTCATAATAGGAAGAAGCCGGCTCAATCCGCCCAGGGTGAATGCCGCATCAGTACAGTAGTAGTACTCATAAATAATGGACTGTCCCGTTTTGATCACGTGGAAAGTGGAGGAAAGACACTATTTCGGTTCAATGAGAAAATTAAGGAAAAAAAGAAAGAAAGAATGTTTAACCTCTCCTGCCAGTACCTCATAAATAATAGAAAACTCCGTTTTGATGAGATGCAAAAAAGGGAAAATACACTACTTGGTTTCAGAGAGAAAAAGAAAGAAAGAAAGAAAGAAAGAAAGTACTTAACGGCTGTTTCAGTGAAATGGAAAAAGTTTTTAATTTAAATTTTTTTCGTTTGTACCCCCTTACTTCTTAAAATAAGGACCAGCATTCACATTTCTGATTGTTATTGCAATATTTTGTTAAAGTTGTTAAGCTCAAATATTTAACGATACAATAGAGGAATTTCTACAAATATTTTATTTTCGCAGAACTAGTTATGACATTACTCAATCATTAACTTCCGAATCAATATCCCACAGAATATTATAATAGGAAAACAGTGCGTTTTTCACTGGTTAAAACTAATTTTTATTATTCTTGAAGATAACCGAGTTATGTTTAGTGGAATACATTTAAGATCCCCAGATGAAACTTATTCACCCAATACAGGGCCCAAGAGCCACTCAAGATAGAGCTACTTAATGAGATAGTTATAATGGCGTAAAATAAGAATGGAGAAGATGAGCATATTATGAGGATATATAGGGCAGATATATGTTGAGTCTAGACTTAAAGTGGTTAAGATTTTTGTGATCGGAGAAGCAACTCCTCAGCAGCCGGTTCCACAAAGCGACAGTTCTGGAGAAGAAGCTGTCCGAGTAGAACTTCCACCTTACCAATGGAACACGTAGAGAAGGCAGATGACTTGATATTGTGTACGTGGCATGTGAATCCTAGCGGTGAAGGTCTGAACTGGCGGTACTAAGAAAAATAGCACGTTTGAACATTTGCCAGAGTAACAGTGATAATGTAGCTAGCAGCTTGCGACGTTTTGATTATGTGGAAAGGGTTTTGCTGGATGGAAAACTATCAATGATCTATAAGACGGTGTAATCTTTTGTTAAATTTTTCAAGTGAGTATTGAGCAGTATCACCTCAGATATGTCAGCATTATTCGACTATTTGTGTCATGTAAAGATAGAGCACGATAGTTCAAGTTAGGCTTACTGGCACATCACAATGAAATAGCGGTTTCTATACGATCACCGAAGTTAAGCAACGTCGAGCCTGGTCAGTATCTAAATGTGTAAAGGCTTGGGAATACCAGGTGTTGTAAGCTTGGATGTATAAGTGGTGTAATGAAAATAAGGGAATCGAGTTCCAAATCACGTTAGAATCGTTATATTCACTTACGTGCAAACACACTTGGAAAAGCTATTAATACACCATTTCTCCCCCAGTTATGGGTTAATTAGTAAGACTTGTTTCACTAAGCCATTGTTATCTAAAATGACTCTTACAATTTAAAAATATTTTCTGGCTTTAAATAACATCCAAGAAATCGAGACAAAAGTTAGGTAAATTTTCCAGCATCTTTAGGATGGATCGTATATACGATTTCCGCTTGAGATCTGGTGAACTTTACTGTCAGCAGACATTCGAAGCAAGGAGGACTAGATGATCCAGTGTTACGAAATTTGTTTGGAAAGTATTCAGTTTTGTACGTTATTTATTTTTATTAGTTTGCTAATGATTTCGAGAAATATCCTTATTAATGAAATAATCGAATATCAATGACCATTCTTGAACATCTGAGGAGGCGTGAGTGAATTCCTATAGAATTTAATAATCTTCTCATCCCGGCAATTAAAACAAGATTACGTACGAAATAAGTATTTATATAATTGTTCTGGTAAGAAAATAACCAGTAATTATTTAAAAGTCCCTTATAAATGTAATGATGTAAAAGAAAATGTTAAGAAAGCCTTTTATAAATACCACTATTTGCCTAGAAATGAATAGAAAAATCGATTTACACAGATGTAGAATAATATCACTGCTTTTTAAAAAAACAAAAAAAGATCTGGATTTCTACCAAAGAAAATAATTAATTAGAATAAAGATAACGCTAATAAATTGACAATGAAATTCATTTCACTTTCAAAAACTAATTCTGATATTCAAAAAGACCAAAAACAACAGCAAAATTCGAACGAAAAATGAAGATTAAAATGGCGTCGTTATTTCGAAGTTATTCTATTCTCAGAATTAGTCAATACTAATTCTTGAACAATAGGACGAATATCATAGAATAGCAGCCGATAAGAAGAGTTTTAAAAAAAAGGAGAAATTTGGAAAAAAACAAATATTTTTTCTTCGTCTTTCCAAAACAACGTTACAATTATCAAGGAAAAACATCAGAATTGTGCTCACATTCAATAATGAAAAAAAAAATAATTGAGAATCAAAGCAGCAAACACAGAGACGTGTCCTCATTGGATTAAATTCACTAGCATTAGCGAAGAAGGAATCTATACGATCGTGTATGGAGACACGGTATACGTAAAAACGTGAGAGAACGCAAATGTGAATCCATACACACGTATGTAATTTTATATATTATAAATATTATATTATAGTTTTCTATATTAAGTCATATACACATCCATATAAAATATGTTCTCTACATATTCTTTAAAAATGTTTGTCTATAGTTTGGAAACTAATGTAATAATGTCAAAAAGTCACAAAAACTAACTATGTGATTGTAATTTCTCTTCATTAAACTTGGATCAACATATTACAAACCTTGAAACAGTCCTGATAAAAAGAATTATCACTTTTTTACAAAAAAAAATCAATTAAATGTCATAAGAATGACAGGAATATATCATGTCAATAAGAATATTATGAGAATGACATAAGAATGTTACAATATGTCTTTTCTAACAAACTTATTATGACATTATTACGACATTGCTTTAACTTTTTATGACATTGTGATATTTTTAGCATTCAAGGGGTTACAGAGAGTGAGAGCAAGGATGAAGAGGCGTGATAGAGAAAAGGATGAAGAGAAGGACTAGGAATAGATCAAGGCATCTGGAGATATTGGTTGCCATTGAATTTGAATACTTAGAGATTATAGCTATCAGAGAAGCAATTAAGAGGAAGAGAGTTCCACAGACTGGAAGTGCGAGTCATGAAGCTATTGAAGTAGAAGAGACGGCTACATTTAAACGTTTCGATGGTGAAAGAGTGGGACTGAGATGCCAACTTAGTAGCACGTTTAAATGCATGCAGTTTGGGAACCAGTGAAAGTCACTCTCCAGAGCAGTTACCGTGAAAGTATTTGTAGAAAAGACAGAGGGAAGCGACGGTACGTCTGTGAGAATGTGACCGTACATGAGATACTAGATCGGGACCAATCATATTGCATATTCGTCTCTGGATTTTCTTGAGTACCTTAAGATATAACATTTATACCATTCATTTATAGCATTCTCATAACAGCTTTATAATATTTCTATAAAACCTGTATGATATTTTAAGGACATTCTAAAGTTTTGTGATATTTTATGTTATT